GTGTTCAAGTATTTTCAACCTAAAAAAACTAGATATAGTTTAAGAGATGACAGTAAAAAATGTTTACCAAAAGTTTGAAAATCACTGACTCAGAGATGACTCTCGTTTCATGGGGCTCAAGTGTGGAACAATCTCAGCAGAAAGATGAAAATATGTAATTCCTTTTTTGTATTTAAAAAAAAAAGTCAGTCTATCCTGGAGGGATATCAAACGGAATGATCTTGTTGAACTTGTAGCTAACAATGTTAATTTATTGAAATATGTTTTGGTAACTTGTATTGTATCATGAACATGCAATGGGCGCACAAGTTTTACTTCTGCCCAAATAATACATGAAAAATAAAACTGAAATAAACTAAAACTGAAAAAAAAAAAAATATATATATATATATATTAGGGCTGGGCGATTAATCGATTTTAATCATTAATTCGAGTTTTACGTTTAGGGCGATTTCTTTTTTTAAAAATTCGATTTTTATTTTCTCCAGCGCTAACGCGCTAACCGCGGGTCTATGGTGTTGAGCAGTCATTTTGAAGCTAACCTAATGCTAACAGTCTCCCTCTGGCCTGATGCTCGCTCTCACAGTTGGTGCTGTTGCAATAACACTTCAAACGTTCAAGAATCAGACTTTATTTAAATCGCCAGAACACACACACACAGGCTCCGGTCGTACGCCACATCTTTCACGCTCTCTCACGCTCGTTATTCCAAAGCGCACTCCCGTGTCCGTGGCGCGCACACACTCGTGTCCCACTGAGCCGCTGCACTTTGGGGAAAGACACGTCTCACACATTGCTCTCATTGCTCTGATACAAACAACGTGTTCCCCGCTGTCCGTTAGCTACAGTAGCTGCTACAGTAGCTGTTAGCTACAGTAGCTGCTACAGTAGCTGTTAGCTACAGCATCAGAATGTAAACAGGAAGCTCGCACAATGCGGGAGTCACTGAAGTTAGTATTAGCGCCACCAGCTGGACCGAGCGTTGTACTACAGCACAGTTACTCAGGCACAGTTGAAAGAACAAGCATGAAAACCCGAGGAGGCTTTTGGAAAAGACTGTCTGTTACAACATTTCTATTTTGAGTAATCAGTTTTAAAAATGTGATATTTCATGTAAATAATGCATGTGTTTAATAGGATTGATATATTTGCGATGGGCCTTGTTTGTGTGATTTAAGTTATTTTGAAGGTGCATAGTGTCATTGTAAGTGAAGTTATTATAAAACTGTTAAGCTACATTTTCACTGTTTACAATGGCAGAGCCATCTCGTTTACAAGCATGTTTTAAGGCTTAATTCCTGTTACACTTATGCTCCATGGGGATTTAGATTAAACTGCATAAAGGAAAATCTATTTCTTTGTCAGTTGTAGTTTGTTTTTAAATAGAAAAAAATAAATCGATTAAAATCGAAAATCGGATTTGGTGTGAAAAAATCGGAGATTTTTTTTTTTTGCCATATCGCCCAGCCCTAATATATATATATATATATATATATATATTAGCTGCAACCCGGATACATGAAAAGACTCTGAATCCACTGCGCATGTGTGGCCAACCGTCCCCGAGCACAGAAAAACTGGACGCGTGACTGGAGTTGATAACAATGATTGACATTAAGGTAGCATGTACACCAAATATTTTTCTACACATCACTTTTTTTACCGGTAATTAAAACACAATATGAAAATAATTTACTATTTTCTGGAAGATATTTCAGAGAAAATTGACCTGACCAGAGGAAAGTGAAAAGAGACCAGTAGATGTTGCTTTGTGTCTTTCTGCTTTACACTGGAAGATTAAGAACAGTCAGTGGCTCACTTCTTACTCTTATTACTCCAAAAAAAAAGAAGACATGATCAACATATTTGAGCTATACATTTTTCAATATTACAATGGGTACAAGGGTTCCACCGTTATGAGAATTTTGGCCTATACTAATATCTGATCATTTTTCTGTTATGGCCGATGACAGATATTTTCCGATATCGATTTTTTTTTTGAGATGATAAAAGTTTGTAAATATTGAATTTCTTCCTAACCCTTCCTTAACCCTAACCCTTCCTCTTTTTCACACTGTATTTTATTAACAAATACCAAGGTTACAGGGCTACTATAAAACATTTGTAACCAACTTTTACCACTTATAAACCATGTCTGCATTCATGGAAACAGGATAATTTTGTCCTATTAGTTAAAATTAGCCTGGTCTTACCAAACCATCGTACAAATTTCACTTCGTACTTTAACCTCTTAACACCCACCTCATTTTGGCTTGTGCACAAAAGTTGGGCATACCCAAAAGTCTTTGCTTATCTAAACATCTCACATGCTTGTGTGATGCATCATATTAAAGATAGAGCCTTCTAGTTTATGTAAATACACACTAAAATAATGTATTTCAAAATGTTCAATTTCTAAAGGCCCTAAAAAAGGCATACTTCATTGTAAGTTCACAATATTCAAACCCTATGGTATGGTACAATTAAGCTATAATCTGCAAAAAAAACGTCTTGACCTACGTCTTTTACCGTTTTTAGAGCAATCTGTCATAGAATGGGATAACATGCAATTAAATAAAAAAAGGCCTTGCCTGGATTCAAACCCGGGTTACAGCGTCGTGAGCGCGTAGTTTAAACCACTAGACCACCGATTTCCGCGGTAAGAACGGTTCTGAAGAACGGACTCAAATCAGCAAATTTTGCATCACATGTAAACTTTTATCAGCCGTCTCAATTGTTCAAAGGCGTCCCGATATAAATCCTCGTTTCAGTCTTTGTTTTGTCATTAATGATTTGAGAGTCATAACAAGACCTTTTTTAGTTCTGTGCGTTATTTTACCACTGAGATTAGTGACCCGCGTGGAGTTCTGGCAACCCGATCACGGACTTACATGACACTTCCTGATTGGCAAAACGGCGGAGGGTAGGACATCAAAATCAAAACAATAACAACTTTTACGGGTCGTAAAACTAATTTTGATAATCAAATATCTCGGCTGAACTACTGTTATCAGTTAAAGTTGTATTCGAAAAGAGCATGATTTAATAACGCCTTTTGAAATATGGGGGCCATTTAATGATGACTTGACATGCAAATGTTACATACTGCTACTTTAAGCTCCTGGGGGAAGCTTCGCAGCAGTAAGCTAACATCTTAGATTGTACAGCCCGCTTTTATTTTTCTAAAAGAACACATTGGTTTGAGATGACCTTTGGCATTTAAAAATGTATTTAACAATTCTTTCTCCCTGTTGCCTTGGTTACTACAACTTTATACCACACAAAAATACTGTGTTGTATCTATGAAAGTCAGCAAAGAGAATACTGCGGACTGTCAGCTGTGTTTACTGCAAAACACAGCGTCCTTTTTAGGCATTTTCCTAAAAATCGACACCCGTTAAAGAAATACATTTTTAGCAAAATAGTAAGTCCAATAGACCTCCACTTGATACGAGCAGTTGCCACAATTGTACATGTCACAGAAAAAGAGCATTTTGACTCTGAATCAGTGAATATTTACATGGTTCTTAATGGAGAGATTTACAGCTGCAACCCAGCAATACACATAGGTTGTGGTTATCGGCCCATTTTTACTCATCGGTGCGATGCCGATAGGTTGAAAAATTATGAACATCGGCGATATATCTATACCAATATGTTGTGCATTCCTAATTACAATATGGGATAAGTGCATCTTAAAATCCAGTGCAGCTTGTACAAGTACAAAATTCAATTTCTTTCTAAAAATTGGAGCCGGCAGCTCATAATCAGGTTCCTGAAAACCACATTTGATCATAGACTGGAAAATTCTAAATCACTCGCTCTATGAAGCCTAAAAGTCAAGTGGTCCTGGTGTTCTTGCTTTGGCTCCTCCTACTTGTAGGTAAATGGGTAATAGTCTGGTAGTTATGTACACCAGGTAATAGGTAAAACCTCATCCAACCCGAGAATCAACATCTGGAGATGGGTCCCGGGCACTGCACTGTGGCAAAACTGCTACAGCCTCTGTCAGGAAATACAGAGGACACATTTTCCTACAGGGATCATTAATATATGATAAAGTGTACCTTAACCTTGACTTTAAGGACAATGAGTATTTGGGATATTCATGCACATTTATTAACGTTTATGGAAATTGGTCACCCCGCTCCCCTATGGACCAATGTTTGTTATTGTTGCATTTCTGTTGTTGACATATCAACAGTTGAGTCCTCCAGGATGACTGCTGTTGTGATTTAGGGCTATACAATAATACATTGAATTGAATTGAAAATTACTCTTAGGCCGTTGCCATCCACACATTTGGTTCCAAATCCCAACCCATGGAGCTGTTTGAGCGACTTACACAAAACATTACTTGCGTGCCTGCTTACTTGCACCACTCCTTTACTGTCATTGGCCCCTATATACAATTGTATGTGTCTATGTGATTTGTGGTTTGAATATATATATATATATAAAAACATGTGTGTGTGAATAAGAAAAAACATCGATTTGATATGTTAAACATTGGTATAGGCCCAAAATTTCACACTCTGTGCATCACTAAAAAAACCATGCAACAAAACAAGCTGTCAAATACCACTGACTCGATACATAATTCCAAACTACAGGAATAGGCAATGTTTTCTGATCAACTCATCAGAATGTTTAAAACTAGTGGAATATAAATTGAATATATTTTAATATGAATATTTGCTCTTTTTCAACAGCATATCTACAAAGGATAAAAATGCTCTTTGCAGCCTGAAAGAATTCCTTTGAAAGATCCTGGATTGTTCAGCATGTGGCTCTTGGATTCCACAGTCCAGCATCTCCAAATCATTTTTTTATCAATGGCATTTTAGCAAACTATCATAGTGTCTAAAAGGCATTGACTGGAAGGATATTCTCAAACATAGCACCAGGATGGTGTTCCCCACCAGTGTCTGTCTTGTCCCAACTAAGTAACGGGACAGAGACCACATGAGCAGCGCTGTGGGACGTCCGACATCGTCGACATGAGTAGTACCTTAGGCAAAGAAAAAGAATCTAAAGAGAAGGACCCTAAAGGAGGTCCTGGAGGAAAGGACAGGGAGAAGGAGGGCAAGGCTCTGGCTGCATTTGTGAAAGACGGCAAAGAGTCAAAGACCAAAGGGAAAGATGCCAAAGAAGGAAAGAAGGACACCAGCAATGCACCACCTGGTGTGGCCTTTTCTGTCGACAACACCATTAAACGGCCCAACCCAGCTCCAGGGGCACGGAAAAAGTCCAGCAACGCGGAGGTGATCAAAGAACTCAACAAATGTAGAGAGGAGAATTCTATGAGGTTGGATCTGTCCAAGCGCTCCATCCATATGTTGCCCACCTCCATCAAAGAGCTAACGCAGTTGGCGGAGCTCTATCTCTACAGCAACAAACTGCAAAGTCTGCCAGCTGAGGTGGGCTGCCTCTCCTGCCTCGTCACACTGGCCTTGAGCGAGAACTCTCTGACCAGCCTGCCTGAGTCCTTGGACTCTTTAAAGAAGCTGCGCATGCTGGACCTGCGCCACAACAAGCTACGTGAGATCCCAGCTGTGGTCTACCGCCTCAGCTCCCTCACTACACTCTACTTGCGATTCAACCGCATCACAACCGTTGAGAAAGACATCCACAACCTGTCTAAACTCACCATGCTCAGCATCCGCGAGAACAAGATCAAGCAGCTGCCGGCCGAGATAGGTAAGCAGCAATGATTATTTTAGTACCAATTATTACCCTTTGATTAAAGCTGGACAGATATATAGCTACTCCAGGTTTAATCGAGTTATTCTTTTTAGCATTTCAACTATTAACACATGATTTTACAAAAACGTATGCTTCATAGTTAAAATAGATAATCACTTTCTGCATGAAGTAAAATGTTTATTCTAATTGCTAAATTAGAGTTGCAAGGAAATTTAATGTTCAACCAAACATGCCATATTTTGGAAATTATTATTGATAACATGGATAAAACAATTACATCAGAGACAAATCGTTTTGCCATACTTTGGAGATCTTTGACGATAACACAAACAAGTTTTTTTTTTTTTGAAGCCATATTGTCATATAAATGTGTTCCATTTTAAAATTATAACATTCTTGAGCCGATTCGTGGAGAGGTTGAATGTGCAGTTCATGCAAAGTGACCCCGGAATTTGCAGGAAGCAGAGGTTTTTTGCCAAGAAGAATGTGCAACTTTACCATCAGAGTATAATGAACCTCATCCACAGCTACCACCAAAGACAATATAGTGAAAAAGTATTTTTTACAATATCATTAATATTACATAAATATTTACAATAACATTAATACTCCAGAAAAAAAAGTACGACTGGTAGGTATCATGCTTTTGGGAACTTGGGGATATTTGCAGTGGCTGAAGTTCCACAAGAACCGTGTTTTAAATTCTAGGGAGGTGACGGGCTGAAGTCAAATCATTTGATTTACTCAATTTATAGGTTTTCGTATTTTTATGTGAAACCATTAACTTTGTAGAATATTTGTCTTAAATGTTATTTTCAGGAGAGCTGTGCAGCCTGATCACTCTGGACGTGGCCCATAATCAGCTGGAGCACCTCCCCAAAGAGATTGGGAATTGTACCCAGATCACCAACCTGGATCTGCAGCACAACGAACTGCTAGACCTCCCAGAAACCATAGGTACCTGTCTTAAAATATTCAAAACAGCTTTTACTATTGTCTCCAACCTCACTCGGGTTTATGTCTTTTGCAGGAAATCTTGCTAGCCTTAATCGTTTAGGCTTGAGATATAATAGATTGTCAGCAATTCCCAGATCATTAGCCAGATGTCGAGAACTGGAGGAGCTGAACCTGGAAAACAATAATATTTCAGTGTTGCCTGAGGTAAGCACTTCTGTGACTGTTTGTTTGGGTTTATTAAGTCGGTGGAGAAGGTCCCGTGGTGGGCTTGAACCCACGACCTTCAGGCTCAAAGGCCAGTGCTCTACCAACTGAGCTACTGTCGCCCCTAAAAAATATCTAACTTTAGCATTAAAAAAAAGTATAAAATCTCTACCTTTTGGGATAATAAGAAGCAAGGATGAAGTACTGTGTATTCTAGTGCAAGAAATATGTAGTTTTATGTTTACATCTGTACATGATGGCAGCATGAGGGTACGGGACATACCCGTAAAGATGGCGCCGGAAACATGGCTCCGTAAAGATGGCAAGAGCTCTGGTGTGTGTCGTCTGGTGCACACGGGGGTAGTCTTGCACAGTTTTTCCAATGTGGTTTTACTGCAAATGGCAAATAAATGAATCTGAATCTGACAGCAGTGGACACATGTGGTTCTATATTGCACATTCTGACATTAGTTCAAGATATTGCACCGATGCATGACATGTGAGGTCAGGTTGGTAGTGTTCTTTACCCCAGTTTTTAAGGCACTTTAAAACTAGGTATGACATGGAGCAGAAGTTGGCTTAGTAATGACCGTGACACAAATATTTGCATTAATCAGAAATAGAAAGATATTTAAAAGAATTCCATTCAGATTTCACTTGTTATTTACTACACTTCACACTTTAATTTTATAAAGCATAAAAGTTGTCTCTGTGAGTGACGGTGTCCCCATGGAAACAACACAACGTGGGTAGGGCTAAGTGGGCCGCTCTTCAGGGAGAAGGAGAAATGTGGGTGTGACCGAAGTATCACTGCATTGATCTGTGATGAATTGTTGTAAAGCTTGCTTGCCGTCCATCACCAAAGGTTCTCATTTGGATTTAGATCAGGGCAACACGCAGGATCCAATAGAGAGATCTTATTCTCCTGGAGGAAGTCCTTTCTCCTGTGGACTGGAGCGGTGTCCTGCTGAAAAATGTTGTGTATTTAATCTCTGTTTGGAGCCTTCTTAAGATCAATGGATTGTAGGTTTGACAAAGTGTGTTGGTGGCTGAGTGGGACTGAGAGGTCACTTTCTTTAATTCAGAACATTAGCACACATCAGTGAAATCTCAGCCAAAAAATAGACTCCTTAGGTGGGCTTTGGATCTATATTTGCGGGTAACAACAACCTAGCAACCAAAGAGACAATCAGCTGTGGTGATCATTTCCTGCTTGTGCATTTCCTGCGGAGCCAAAGGCATTTGCAGCAGAAATGTGTCCATGGTACATGCTACATTGACTTTAGTATCTTGCAGTATGTTCACGAGTGTTACCATTTGCCTTAGGGGCTCTTGTCCAGTCTGGTGAATCTGACCAGCCTGACACTGGCAAGGAACTGCTTCCAGTCCTATCCTGTGGGTGGGCCCTCTCAGTTCTCCACCATCTACTCTCTCAATATGGAGCACAACCGCATCAACAAGATTCCATTCGGCATCTTCACAAGGGCTCGAGTGCTGAGCAAACTTAACATGAAGGTAGGCTTGTTTTGCCATATTCGCAAAAACTATTATGCATTTGGTTTATACAGGACTTTAGTATTCTAAAGAACTGTTTACATACATTAGTCATATTATGTGTTAGAATTGATATCTTCATTATATTTGTTAGAATTTCTTTTGGCAATGAACAGTATATGTGTCATCCCTAGGACAACCAGCTAACATCTCTGCCACTGGACTTTGGCACATGGGTTAGCATGGTGGAGCTTAACCTGGCCACGAACCAGCTGACCAAGATCCCAGAGGATGTATGCGGGCTGATGTCGCTGGAGGTGAGACCCTCTCAAGTCACGTGAATAAGCACAGTACTGTGCCGATGGTCTACTCTTCCTTTTATCATTTGAAGCACCACAGTTGTTGTTAATTTCCATGTTATTGTCTTTATAGGTCCTAATACTGTCCAACAATCTCCTCAAGAAGCTACCACATGGTATTGGGAACCTGAGAAAGCTTCGAGAGCTTGATTTGGAAGAAAATAAGTTGGAGTCTTTGCCTAATGAAATTGCTTATCTCAAAGATTTACACGTGAGTCACTTCACATTTTAGAGTTTCACAAAGGATTATGACTTTTGGGCAATTAACAAGGTTTTCCTGTTTTAAAGAAATTGGTTTTGACCAATAACCAGCTGAACACATTACCCAGGGGCATTGGGCATCTCACCAACCTCACCCACCTGGGCTTGGGAGAGAACCTGCTGCAGCATCTGCCTGAGGAGATCGGTGAGAGTTCCACATCTTGTGAACAACATCTTTGTCATTCTGTCCATGACAAAGATACAGTAGCTGTCAGGAATCAACACAAGTCTCATCTCTGATCCCCCATCGGACAGTTGGTGCAGACACTAGTCGGGTTACTGCTCAGGTTAGGAGTTAAGCTAGAGATTATAAAGCGCGCAAAAGCAGCTGAAGGTGGGTGTATTTATAGAGTATTCGTACTGGGTCCAGATCTCAATTCTACTGGTCACTTTACGGGGTCAAGTAAAGATCAGCAGCCACTTTAAACTCTCAAACCCCTTGTAAGGATGATAAAAAACGATTTCAATTTCATATTCAAAGCAGTCAATAGGCCAAATTTGTATTATGTTAAAAAATCAACCTTGAATGTTTTCACGCCTATAAATGCTTTATTTATAATTTGATATAACTTTGTGCACAATTACAGTTACCGCTATCTGCAGTAACATGGGATCCGATGATCCAAAACTAAAATGATGGGTATTTGTGATCAGTCTTAAAAATGTTGATCCGAGCACCTCTAGTCATAAACCTAGCTTTAGTTCAATGACCGTTGTATATTTTTAGGAACACTGGAGAACCTGGAGGAGCTGTACCTCAATGATAACCCCAACCTGCACAGTCTGCCGTTTGAGCTAGCCCTGTGCAGCAAGCTGACCATCATGAGCATCGAGAACTGTCCTCTTAGCCACTTACCGCCGCAGATCGTCGCAGGAGGGCCCTCCTTCATCATCCAGTTCCTCAAGATGCAGGGCCCCTACCGTGCCATGGTTTGAACACATCTTTGTTTTGCTTATCTGACCCAAAATTCTCTGCGCCGTAGCCTGGCACCCCCAGCCCTACGTCATGCACTATACAGACTGATCATGACAGAGCGGGGGCTGCTGATTCGGGCTGAAGAGAACGGGCGCCACAGTCTGCTCCAGAGTCGATCATGGACCTGTTTGGACCTCGGCCATGTCCCACTCATGTTGCATTCCGTATAAAGGAAACAATTTCCATTTCTTTGCCAAAACTGAAGATATATAAATTTCTATATATTGAGTTACTGTGAGCTGAGTGGCAAAAGTCTTTGTGACCATATAAAGTGTGCTCCCATTGCCAATATATTTACAGTACTTAAAGCATCTATGACTAGAGCAAGGATACGACTGTATGCAGAGACAGACCAGTCTTTGAGCGCCACATTTCCTGCTGCTGCCATAACTGTAACTATCCAACTGCCCTCTTATTTAATTTCTTTTTTATGTTCTCATGTTTCTTTATCAGGCTCTCTGTGTCTGGATCCTTGAGAACAAAGATCTAACTTTACAAGTTTCTATTTAGGTTTTGTATATTATTTTTACTTTTATTTTTTAATGATGTGCCTATGTTTGAAGTGAACCAATGGTTCATTTTAAAGCAAATTTGTCCATTCAAAACAATTATATAAATTATTTCAGTATTTTTTTTAATCCTGCTGTTTTTACTTTTTGTGTTTTTTTGACCTTTTATGTTCAATGATGTATCAATTGTAAAATAGAATGATTACCTTTCTGACAAATAGCGGCAGTAGTTGTTGAACATTATGCTCGCGATGTATACATATGAGAAATGCCAATCACACGTGCTAAAAATCAAGATGGACTTTTGAAGATGGTGGTGTGACAACCTCCTGTGTCCACTGATTTGTATGTGACAAAGGTATTTGAAAAAATTCCAGCATATGCAGGTAATGGGTAAATTCTATTGTTTTTGTTTTTTAATGTGCCGATCTTGGTGTTTGCCTTGAGTGCAATTTTAGTTTGTTTACTTATTTGATATTCTCTCCAGTGTTGGGCTGCACAGCTGTCCAACTTCTGATCACTGATCCACATATCAAGCTTACTGAGGGGTTCAGTCTCTGAAGTGCTGAGTGTATCAAATCTTCAAAAAGAGTTCATAATAAAACATTGTCAGGTTACGTTTTCTCCGCAGCTCATTATTACTTAAGGATATTTACTTTGGTAATTACTTTGGTAATAGAATTGATTTCTCTGTCATTAAAAAATCTTATCCTCCCACATTGTACCAGCAATTCTGCTGCTCTTATGCACTTTTGAAAACATTGGCCTCCTCTGTATTTTAAAGTCCAGGGCCACAAGTTATTTTTATTGGGGCATTGTTCAATAAGTATTGCATTTAGTACTTTTTCTCTTTTTGTGTATTAAGTTTGAAGAGTCAGATTTTTTGGGTAAATTTTATCTTGATGGTCTTAAAAAGGTGAAAGGATAAAAAAAAATGCCTCTCTGGCTTCTATTCTACAGTTCAGTTCATTGTTTTGGGGGGAAAAAAGAAAAACTTTATATAAAATGTTTTATTCCATATTGTATGAACGTGCACGGCATTTAATATCCAATTCATCCTCAAGTTTTTTTCCTTAGCATATATTCCACTTCCACAGTCTTAAGTTGATTTGTGTGGTTATCTTGGTGCAGTAGAGGTTATCCTTCAGGATGCTCTGCTCTCGGCCACATCTGACCCCATGCGGACCACTCCACGTCCAGTTGCTCGGCTTCAGTCCAGTTTTGCAACAAATTTGGCCCAGAACAAATCAGACTTCATGACAAGGTGCATTATTGAGCTCAACGCAGTTACAGTACAAGACTGTCAATACAATGTAAAAAGGGCTTTCTGTGTTCTTGCTCAGCACACCGGAGGCAATGCATTCCTTGTCTGTTTACTTTTCTGTGGAAACGTGTGTGGAAATGCCTTGACTCCTCAGAGTGAGATGTGCTTCAGGAGGGGCTCATCACATATGGTTTGTGTTTTGTGAGCGGCAGTAGTGCATACAGCACAGGGAGTCTACCGTCTGGCTCATTTATCAGATCATGAATGTAGTTGCATTTGCTTTGGACTCCATGGAAATAGCCTCCACTTGAAAATATGTTACTATTATTGTTTGTTAATCAGGACCACAAAGAATACAGCAGACTACAACTTATGTTTGTGTTTTGTGTCTTTCTTCATAGGCTAACGTTGAAAGTATTTGACTGGGGGAAATGATAATGGTTCACAGTGGACTTGAAGTTGGTTATTTTGTGTATCTGCAAAGAATCTCCCTTTTTATACACAGATGCGCGTCCAAGCATTAAGTGCCAATGCTTCTACTTCTCCACATTGAAAAGCAGCCTTAATGCTTTCTTACAGTATGTGTTCTTTTGGCTATTCCTTGTGTCTCTGGCCACTGACTGTACTTGATGACAAGCAATTGGTTGTAACAATGTAATTTTGGGTCAGATTTCTATTTCTTTTGTCATTTTCCTTCTACTCTGTACAGTGATCTGATGTTTCAGTAGGCTCAGTGTTAAAATCTGTAATGTGATTAGAGTTTTACAAAGACTGCAGAGGTCAATGGAGGATGATGCCATATGCTACCAAGTGGTCTCACTTTGGCATTAAAGGGGAAATCCACTAAATCTGACTCCTATTGTTATTCAACACAGGCATTTTACAGAAATGTAATGTTATAACATAACTATTTTAAATAGTTCGCAAATTATTTGAAACGTCCTTAAGAGTAGTGTAGTCCCAAAGCATTTTCAATTACGTTTCAATCAAACCCTATTACGATTGGTTTTAAACAAAATTGTGTGTTCTAACAGTACTTTTGCTCTGTCCAACAGTGACCCCTGTTGGCGAATTAGTGAACTAACAAGTTCATGTTAAGCAGTTCGAGCACATGTAGTTCACATCAGTGGGAGATAAGTGAAATAACTAAGCTGCTGTGGTCAGATATTAAAAAGCTTAATAAAAAGGTCTGATCGAACCTCCTCATGCGCTTAGGTAGGGTCTGCATAAGGGTTTATGTTGTTGTTCAGGTTCACTTAATTTAGAGACATTTCTTGTGATATGGTCTCGAAAGAATTTCCAAATGGCCTAAGACCTATACATCAGAGCTTTTATTGTGTCACATGATACGTCTTATATCATGCAGTGATTCCCTGTCTCTCGTGATCTACCCCAAAGGACATATATCAATACATCCATGGGGAATAGAGACAAAGCAGACTGACTTCGGATTGAGGCTGCTTTGTTTGGAGTCGTTGCTTTCATTTCCTCGTCCTTTACCTTTGTATCTCGTGGATGTTAATTTTAAAACCGATATGTCTCAGGCTGAGGGACAGATTAATGTGATTATTAATGAGGTTATAAAAAGGTTTTTTAACATGGATGAAGCACCTGCCACGTTTGTCGATGTAAAAAGGGAGATAACTTGACGGAGCATGGTCTCGAAATGCTCTTATTTAATGTATTTTTTTATGTTCTAATGTTTTTTTATCTGGCATGTTCTCTTTTGGTCATGGCCCGTCCCGCAGGAAAATTGATTAAAAACGTGCTTTCAGCTTTCCCTGCTGGTTCCGCCAAGCAGCGTGAATCATGCATCGTTCCCGCTCAGCAGTACCGTCTATGGTCGCGCACTGTGCGCCTCATTTGCGCTTGCCCGATCTGCGCAGGATCCATACCGCGGCAGTTTAAAAAAACTTGATCCAAAGGGACCTGTTTGAGAAAAAATGACAACAGCATGTGAAACTGAGCGTTTGACCCATGAAGAGCTGTGTTTTGAACCGAGCTGTTTTGACTAAAGGTCAGTTTCAGATTCCATAGTCAGAACTACAGGCATGGAGCCACTGCTCCCACTGTTCAAAAGAGATCGGGACAGCATTCTTCTTTTTTGGGTGCTTATTTTCCATGTTCACAGGCTTATACGCAGGGTTGTGATTGGCTGATGTGGTCCTGACCCATGTGGTCCTGACCCATGAGCTCCACACCAGAAGTCAGCGACATGAGCGCCGCAGCTCCCATACATGACCAATGCTCTCTGGTGTGTGGAGAGGCCACAATGTAAGTCAGTAAGTAAGCTTGATTTATATCCGGCCTTTCACAGACCAGAGTCACAAAGCAGTTTCCAATTGTGGGCAATAGTCCTCTCACTCATGAACACTGAACATACACAAGAGTAAGAAGGAGCCAGCAACAGTTGGATCAACTGTGGAGAGATATATGTGAGGAATGGGCTAAAGCACCTTCCATCAGAGAGGTTGCAGGAGACTGCAATGTATCCTTCAATCTGAGCAGGATGTGATCATCCTTCAAATGCTGCACGTGGCCAGTGCATTGGTCCTGTCAATCATGCATTGGCTGCACACTTGCCCTGATCACCTGCCAGTCCACAATACACTTCACAGGATCTACACCTCATGTTAGCTCATTATACTTTGCTGTCTGAACATGTCTGAAGATGTTTTCTGTTCTTGAGCCTCTGCCGTGTCCAAGTCGTCTACTCTGGTCTTTAACCCAACTGATCTGGATGTAGACCGACACACCTGTGAGTATGTTCAGACCATGGATCTATAACAATATCAGTTCAGACACACCACAGCTATAGGCAGAAAGGGAACAGACTGTCCTCTTTTCAGCAGTGGTCCGAGCCTTTTGTGTGGGCAACATATACCCATGAAGCATGAATTGGCTTTTATACTTCACTAAGATGTTTGTATGTCGTATGATGAAGTATATGAATTGGCCCTTTAGGCTATGCTTGTGTGTAAACGCATGTGTCCGTTGTAGCAGGAGAGAAAAGTTGTTTACTGTCTCCTGAGCAACAAAAGGTGAGTGTGTTTGACGTCACTGGTGAAAGTCCTGTTGACACTAATGCGCACCTAAAGGACTCAGATGCAGCAGAATACAATATATGTCAGGGAGGGCTAGTCTGTGAATGTACAGTATATATAATTCAGGCCAAGAAATGTTGGAGCAAAACAAAGCAAAGCTAAAGGGCTCGAATCCTGTCGTCTGATTATAGTCTTTGTACATTATTTTTAATAGAATATGAATAAAATGTATTTATTCTTTTCAATAATAGTTATTCGTAAGAAGATTTTGAGAGCAGAATTCCAAACATTCCAATTTTGTCCTGTTTTGACTCGGACTTCTCTACAAAGTTTTCCGCTTTAGTTCTGCGCTACTTCCGCAGATACAATTTACGTTAGTAAATTGTAGAGTTGGCAACAAGGCATAACCTAACAAGTAGTCATTTATTTATATATTTTTTGGTCTAATTCACAGATCAGAGTCACAAAGCGCAACTGTTGTGGGCATTTGTCTCACACTCCACACACAGGTGGGTGCGAGGTCGCCAGACCTAATACATGTTTTTAGTGGTATAGGGAAACCGGAGTACCAGGAGGAAACCTGTGTTGACACGGAGAGATTATGCAAACTCCACACAGAGAGGCCCTGTTCCTTGCTGAGAAGCGAGAGTGATACCCCTAAACCAACCACCATGCTAACAATCTACTATTCTTATAATTCATGCACTATATAAGCCCTTCTGGAACCTGCAGCTGCGCTACAGTTTAGCTGCTGGTCCCCTATGATGTAAGAACAAACCAAATAGCGTCATCCTTTGGATTAGGCTCTACAATAGGCCGTAAGGACCTCTTTAGAAAACAACAAAGACTCCGACAAAACTTTATATCACTACATTTTGACTAGATTTGGCCCCGAGCCACACATGCGCACACAACACGCTAACCCTTCTACACTTCCCCAAGAATGTCATCCTCCATCCTCCAAAGGCAGCCATCTTCCCAGAGACTGAATTCAAATGTGAAACCACAAAACCAAACACACTGTGTTTGTGAGCGAGCTGTGACTGTGAACCTCCCGCTCTGGGAGAGGACGGCTCCCCGACAGACCGACACATGCCTGTGACAAAATGAAGCCAAGAAATCATCAGACGTAATACATTATTAACTCATATTGATGATTAACAAAGGAAAAACATTTACCTTCCAACCAGTCGACTCAATCTGAGCAATGATCAGGGCCTTGACATCCACCTGTTCATGGGACTGTGGATGGAAAGACTGACTCTGGCACATACATGTTGATGAATGTGCACTGTCCCAATTTGAGTTCAATAAATCTAAACATAAATCAAAATACTATTTGTAGATTTGAAATATAAACATATTAACACCATTTATATCTTGCACTTCCACTGTTGTTTGTGTAACCAATAAATCAGTTAAACCAATATTGCTGAATTTAGCCAATATATTGGTTAGAATGACTGGTTGGCACAAGACCAACGGATTGAGAACACAACCACCTGCATCGTAATCACCAGACAAGTTGTCTCCTGTCCCATAATGTGACTGTGGAGCCACCTGAGCCTGATTCTCACCCATGACACCATTTTGTCAAGGATGGAGAATGCACCAGGCGAATCTCAGACCGCACGGAGGCAATGCAAAAATATCAGAATGTCCAATCCATGAGATTTGCATTTGTTTGCTATCATCTGATGAAAGTCTGTCATGACATCAAAAGCATTCACTTAAATATTTTTTCTTCAATATTTAAAATAAAATGTTTATACTTTTGTAACCAAATGTATAAAAACATGTACCCTAAGTGTCTCTGCACTTGTTCCTTGTTTCAAAGAAAATAGTTCTTTGACAGAATTTTGTGGCCTAAATTTGGTGAATCTATCAAAGTTGAATTAACGAATAAAGTGATTTATATAGGCACTTTATTTCACACCTCCAATAACATATGTGTGGTTGCTCTAATTGTGCTAAATGCTCTCACATCTCATCTTACTCTTGCATAAACTGTTGACTTTGTGACCCATGTCACTTATATGTATAGGCAGTAAAAAATAAAAATAAAAATACACACAGCAACAGTTGGCCTGTCATTCCCATTCACACACTTGACAAGATTGTATTCTCTGAAGCTGCTTTCAGTAAGGATGATAACTATGTTGAGACTGTGGCATAATGTACACTACAGCCTACAGCTGTTGTGGCAGTCTGGCTGAATAGTGTAGTTGAAGTAAAGCGCCGTTCTTAGCATGTGTAAAGTGAGTAAACATATGAAGGACAGGTTGTGGACTTTCACAAAAGTCTTCCCTTCAGCAGAGGTGCTGTGTCCGTGTCGCGCTCTGCCGCTGCTCTCCTCTCCTGTCCTGTAGTTTGGATCCGTTGTGCGCCTTATAAAGTGAGGGAGTGGCGCTTTGGTGAGCACTGAGGGAGAGACTCCGCGCAGGCATCAGCAGCAGCGCCCAGGATAACACGATTAGCGCTCTATTAGTCCACTGGAACACAACACACGGACCTGAGCGCTCGCCTGTGGACAGAGGAGACTGAGGCTCAGGGGAAACAGGCGCCACGGATTGTGTCCGCGTCATTCTCAACTGCGTAAAGAAGTTGCGCACCGGGCGCTGTTGGTTATGTTTATTTTCCTCCATACGGTGCTGGTAAGTCTCATGCATGTTTGTCACCTTACATAGTTTCATTCATGTAGCTAATTCTAAATTCGTTTTTGCTTTGTGTTGCCAGATGATGCGACAGTCTGTAAGTCTAAATTCCGGCCACAATGAGATTATTCTTCATGAAAGAGAAAAAGCTCAAGAGGAGTTATGGTTTGAAGGCAGTGTGAAGCAGTAGCTCCTTGCTCTGACCGGATGGTTTTGTGTCTCCTCGTGTGAACTCACATCTGGCTCCATGGGGTTTGACAATGGCACCAACGGGACCGTGTCCTGGGCTCCGTTCAGCGTGCAGACGTCTGTTCTGCTGACAGTCCTGGTGAGCTTCATGATCCTTCTTATAGTGTTTGGAAATGTACTGGTGGTGATAGCAGTATTCACAAGCCGAGCCCTCAGGGCTCCTCAGAACCTGTTCCTGGTGTCCCTGGCCTCAGCAGACATATTAGTGGCCACACTGGTCATGCCCTTCTCTCTGGCCAACGAGTTAATGGGATACTGGTACTTTGGGGAGATCTGGTGTGAGATTTACCTTGCACTTGATGTTCTGTTCTGCACTGCCTCCATCGCCCACCTCTGTGCTATCAGCCTGGACCGCTACTGGTCCATCACACAAGCCATTGAATACAACTTAAAGAGGACCCCACGTCGCATTAAGTGCATCATCTTCATTGTGTGGGTGATTGCAGCTGTGATCTCATTTCCTCCTCTGATCACCGTGAAGAAGAAAAAGAACATGGAGCATCCCGTGTGCACCATCAATGATGACGAGTGGTATGTCATCTCCTCCTGCATCGGCTCCTTCTTCCTGCCCTGCATCATTATGGTGCTGGTCTACATCCGAATCTACCAAATTGCCAAGAAAAGAACACGAGCGCCTACTGGTGATAGGATACCCAAAGCAAACGCAGTGGACCACAAGCACAATGGTTTGGATGGAGCCAAAGATGAGGACTTGAAGCTGAACGGCGAACGGGACATTGAACTGAAGGAGCAGGGGGCGGACGGCGATGGGCTCAAAGGCGAAGTCAATGGAGTGGACATTGAAGACTCCTCATCTTCGGATCATAAAGTAAACAATCCATGCTCCATCAAAAAGAAAAGCCACAGGGGCAAAACAAAACTGTGCCAAATCAAACCAGGAGACAATGAGCTGCCCAAATGCATCCCGAGCACCAAGGGGAGCAGGTGGAAAGGCCGACAAAACCGTGAGAAGCGTTTCACTTTTGTCCTGGCTGTAGTGATAGGGGTCTTTGTCGTCTGCTGGTTCCCCTTCTTCTTCACCTACATGCTCCAGACTATATGCGTGTCGTGCTATGTTCCACTGACTCTGTTCAAATTCTTTTTCTGGTTTGGCTATTGCAACAGTGCCCTGAATCCAATCATCTACACCATCTTTAACAACGACTTCAGAAGAGCCTTTAAAAAGATTTTGTGTAAGAGGGACTCCAGGAGATATGGCTAAAGGCCTATTGTGTTGTACATACGTGTAAAAGAAAATGCATGGATAACTGGGATTTAATGCCGTTCACAACCTTTTCACAAACCGTCGCAGAAGAACCACAGAGAATATCTTTTATTTGTAAATACTATTTTTATTTTTTTACCCAAAGTGTAAATATATGTATTGTGGCGTTATTTTAGTTGTTATAGATATAGTGAAGTGCCATAGTGACAAATGAATGTGGGTTTTGACTCTCCAAGCAACGGTTACATTTATTGATCATGGAAATAATACATTTTAGTGGTGATCCATTGTGTAAGCTTCACTTGGCCAAACATAATGCTGTGATAACTCTATAAATAGGTCTTTGTTGCTCCATGATACAAGCTTTTTGAGTGTGTGTCAATCCATTCGCTGTTAATGGTTCATTTAGTGTTTTGTGTTACCAAACTTTGTGTAGCACATTAAAGAGTGGAGCCTGTTAAACCGGTATTCGGCCGACTGGTCTCTCTGAATGAATATTGTACAAACAAAACAAAAAAAAAATCACATTTCAAACCCCGAAAATGCAAACAATTAGGGGTGGATTGAGTTATTTGGCAGAGATGGTGCATATTAATGAGCATAATTACCTACAGTGCAAATATGCATAACACATTTCATGGTATTACTTGCCATGTTTATTTGCATTTTCCTATGTTTACATCTTAATTATTCATCGTTGCAGGTTTTTTGCCCAGAAAGAGATCAATCATCAGTTACATCAAAGAGTATTAGTTTAGTGTAGTCTTTATTTGAGAAGTGCTGCGGCAACATTAAGCTCAAAGACAGATATTTTCTCTTTCACAGCTCGTTGCTATCTGCAGTCCCTGGTTCCATGAAAAAAAACACAATACAATCAAACCAAATTACAAAAATAAGAAAGTACAATAGCCTATAATGATAGGTTATTGTACATTTTAATAGTTTTTTTTTTTTCAATCTGTGTGCACACATTTCAAACACAAAAAATCCAGCATAAATAAACAGCACACAATATAATAATATACACAGTGTGAAAAGGGGTTGCGTGAAGCATCCATCCATCCATTTTCTTCCCCTTAATCCATTTCTGGGTCGGGAGGGTGGCAGTCAGTGAGGCCACCCAAGTCACATAGCACCAGCCCCTCACTGATCCTCTGCAGCTGGTACACGGGAGGATGGCTGCTCTGTCTGTGAGAGAATAGCCTTGATCTTTCAGCGGGGGCTTCATGCAAAGTGGGGTTAAGTGTCTTGCCCAAGGACACAACGACAGCAGTCATCAGTGGGTGAAGCAGTCAGGCTTATTTGGCTCCAACCCCACTCACTCATTCAGTACAACACAGAAATATAGTCAATATAGAATCAATAACCATTACATTAAAGTACCCAACCCCCCCCCCCCCCCCCCCAAAAAAACAAAATAAAATAGTCATGAGGTCTTTGTGTGGAACTGATCTTTTGGGAGATCCCCGGTTTGTTTGCTGTGACTCTCGGCACGTTTGCTAAAAGTGACTGAGAATGTGTGGGAGACTGTTTGCTCCTGTGGGAACTTCTGCTTCTGAAGAACATTTCAACATTAGCAGTGCACTTAAGAAGTCACAATATCCTATGTTAGCGAACACAACGATTTAACTATTAACTTATCTATTTTGGAAAGTTGGAATCCTATTTTTTTGTTAAAGCTGGATTATGAATTTTGAACCTAAAAAATATAACTAGTATTATCAAATCCATGTTTCTTGCTCTCAAACTGTTTTTTGTATTTTTCTTTGCCAATATTCCTGTGAAAAAGAGCAGACCCTCACTCTCAATCTGCAAAAACAGTTTTCTACTAAGATGAAGACAACATGTGGTCGGATTTGTTCACAAAAATGATATTCCTAACAAGAATCTTTCTGTTGTATTATTCTTGTAAGAAATGTATTTTAGGTTCTCCAGCTTTGACAAACATAACGGCCCCTATAAGTCTTCAATCCCCTCAATGTAAGCCCCATTGTGAGAATCACGTGAGAGAACAACTCGGCGCTACAACTAAACATGATGATAAAGTAGTATTAAAAACAAGAAAACATTTTAACAATGGAAATATGACATTATAGATACACTGCAATAATAAAATACAAACAAATACAAATAGTTTTAGAAAAGAGTGAGAGTAATGAGTTGTTCTTCTAAATATTATGGACTTATAATCACAAACATGTTAAGACATCTGCTGAGTTGTAGAGTGATGCATTTACACACACAAGGGAAAAAACAGGCCAAGTATGTGACATTTTGGATGACCAGAACAATGATATTAAAGAAATAAACTATTTATTTCAAGTGCTGTTGCAAGGAACTGGTTTTATTCATCATACATGGTTCTTTACTGCTGCCCTGTGGTCTGCAGATCTGGACTATAACCACCAAGCTCTCGCGTGTTGCATGGGCCCCTATTTATAGTAGGCAACATTGGAATACTGGATTCTGTGCTCGTCCATATTTTGCTTTGTCACAGTGCAATTCTCACTCACATGAACAAAACTACCATCAGCAACGGTAATAATCTGGGAATTATTGACATAACTCTGATAACTGTGTGGGGAACGCTCATTGTTGAAGGTCTGGTGTTTGTGTTTGTGTCTTCAGGCTGGTGTCAGTTGTTAATTAGCGGTTGCCTTTTAGCCATAGTCAATATTCACGGCTCTAAGCAAAACATGATCAATAACAGAGAAGTGAATAGATGAAAAACGGCAAGGCTAAATACTGTTAGGATTTAGCAGACAGAGACGGATCGTGGTGTGCCAAACTCTGGAAGTTTATTTAAGTTTCTCTCAAGTTCCACTGGTTTACTCTGTTTCGTTCCCTCAGACAGAATAAAGGCAGTACACAGTTTATATAGTCATTGTCACGTCACACATGGAAAGACATACGTGTCACAAAGAGACAGTCAAATCATAGTCATAACATGGAGTCCTTGTAGAGTCCTTGTACAGTCCTGCACGTAGGCCATATTGCTATCTAATACTAACACCCTCCCCTTTGATCACATAATCACATGTGATCATTCAAATCGATCAATCATCCATCCATCCATCCATTTTCTACCCTTTAATCCATTTCTGGGTCAGGGGGGTGGCAGTCAGAGATGCCACCCAAGTCTCATAGCACCAGCCCCTCACTGACCCTCTGCAGGTGGTGAGTCCACAGGAGGACGGCTGCTCTCTGAGTGTGAGCATAGCCTTGATCTTTCAGTGGGGGCTTTTGGGCAAAGTGGGGTTAAGTGTCTTGCCCAAGGACACAACGACAGCAGTCATCAGTGGGAGTCGGTGGAGAAGGTGTAGAGGTGGGAATTGAACCCACCACCTTCAGGCCTGAAGGCCAATGCTCTACCAACTGAGCTACTGTCGCCCACCTCGATCAATCAATAAAATGGAAAAAGAAAAAAAAAAATCCAAAAAAAAACTTCAAAAAATTATTAAAAACAAAGAAAATGTATGCATTAAACTCATAATCATCAAATCAATATCAGTGGATTTTATCCTCTATCCTGGGAAAAAACAAAAAACAAAAATAAAGTAAATAAACAAACAAAAAACAAATCAAAAATAAAAACAAACAAAAATAAAAACAAACAAAAACTATTGGACACACAAGAACTCAGCAGATTCAGTCAAAACACAGACAAAAACGAGCTGAGTCTCAAATTAGAAGCTAATTTCACTTTTATTACTCTATACTTTTATTCTAATGCTAATTGTTTACACTTCACTTCACTTATTTCACTGTATTATTTTCACTTTTTAATCTTAGACTGTGTACTTTACTTTCACTATTCACTATAGTTTAAAACTATTCTAATCTATTCACATAAATCTCTCTGTTCTGTGGTTTACACTCTAATTATCAGTGGCATTTATCAGTGGGATTTTGCTCCATGTCTATTCTACATTCTCAGGAATAAAACTGTGAACACAGTAAGGCAAATGGTCAACATTTACACTTCTATAGTGGTCAGTGATTTATTACTTTTTATTATCTAAAGATATTATTGTCAGGCAGTTTGGGATGAATGAACATCATTAATCAAATTAGTATTATCCTTACAAGAGCTAATCTATTTTAGCATGTTTGGGGTTGGGGTCAGTTATTCTACAATGGTGTTTGTGCTGGAAACTTCTCAATATCTAAATATCTACTATTGTGTTTTTGTGCTATACACAAATACATCAAAATGCTTTTAAATGCTTTTGAATCTCTGTTGGTTGTAATCTATCTCATTAATCTAGGCATTAATCTAGGCTACACTCATATGGACTTTTGTATTGTCAACATTCACTCATGTTTGAACACAAGTGAATTTGGAAGGTATCTAATAAAACTGTACATAAACTGTAATTAACTTTATCTACTTTTGAAGTAAATGCTTGTGAAATGGTCCCTTTACCATTTGATATTAGCACTGGCTACAAATAATCTCTATTTTTGAAAGAATCTATGGTTGATGCATTTATCTACTCCTATTTTTACTCTATTTTTTAACTCAAAAGCTCGGCTGCAGCTTGAGCAAAGGCATATTTCTAGTTTGTGACTTCTGTCACTTTTAATAGCTGTAAAATACTCTGATTCTAATATTTTATCTGATCTATCAAAAGGATAACATTGTAGGGTACTATTTTAACTCTTACGTGGAAATATGTTTATGAACAACAAAGGAAATCAAATTCTACTTTTTTACTACTATTTAACATCTACTAAAACGCTACAATACTCATACTTTATCATTTTAAAAGTTTTTAACAGATGCTCAGTCTACCAGACTAAAAAAGTCAAAGTTTTTGTCTGTCAGATGTCTGAATACTTAACATGTATATTGCATTTGTTCACAGTTTCTGGTTCTGGTTGTAGCAAAAGCATCAGCAATAGACGATTTTCATTGGCTGGTTCTTGTTCTGCAAATGGCTGTGTCCAATAGATCATCAGATGTCCAGAAGCTAGGGACAAACAAAAACAAAAGA